TTTGATTCAAACCTTTGATCCACTGGAACACACTACTATGAACATCTGGGTATGGTTTTATTTTTCATTTTTCACCTTGTGTTATTAGATCACAGCAGAACAAAAACAACTTCAAAAACTCAAGAAGATAAAAAAAACACAAAAGGGACATGCATCATGATTGAACACATTTATTGTGGGCATGCATTATATATTATGATTCTGGATTAGAGGTTAGCTGGAGGCAAAGTAGCCTATAGGTTTAGAAATGGTAGAAGAGGGCTGGAGTGATAGGACATTAGGTAGGGTATTTGCCTTGCTTGTGACCAACCTGATTTCAATTCCAGCTACTCCATATGGTCCCCAGAGCCCTCTAGGGGTGATCCCTTAGTGCAGAGCCAGAAGTTAGCCCTGAGCACTACCTGGTGTGGCCCCAAAGCCTCCTCCCCAAATGTCTAACATAAAATATTTAATTAATAAAAAATATGAAAGTGAAAATAATACTTTCCTCCCTGCTCATTTTCTTTTTTAATTCCTTCTCAACAAAAGGAAGAATTACTGCCTGATAGAGTCAGACTCTGGGACACGGGTGCAATCCAAGTTTATTAGACACATCAAGTTCAATGATGTTCAATTCTCCTCCGAAGTCATTTTAGGAGTCATTATAGCTATGTGAAAGAAGCTTCCGGTAAAATGAATCAGAAGAAGAGGGATAGACATAGAATGACTGCACTCATTTGTGGAATATAAAATAACATAATATGAGACTGACACCCAAGGACAGTAGAAACAAGGGACAGGAAGATTGCTCCAGAGTTGGAAGCCTGTCTCATGAGCTGGGGAAGAAGGCAGCTGGAATAGAGAAGGGATTACTAAGTCAATGATAGTTGGAGGGATCATTTGGGATGGTAGATGTGTGGTGAAAGTAGATAAAGGACCAAATGTGATAGCCTCTCTGTATCAGTATTGCAAACCATAATGCCCCAGAGTAGAGAGAGAGTATGGGGTAAATTGTCTGTCATAGAGGGAGGGGGAGGGTTGGGCTGAAATAGGTGGGTATACTGGGGACACTGGTGGTAGAAAATGTGTAAAGTAATCACATTACTGATGAAAATGTGTTTGATCATTGTATGACTGAATCTCAAACATGAAAGCTTTGTAACTATCTCACAGTGATTAAGTAAAGAAAAAAATTTTTTAAACAAGAAAGAAGCTTCCTGGTATGCAGCAAGCAAACAGCCTTTAAACAACACTGAACTTTATGCATTTTGAAAAGCCTTGAACCACCGAAAACTCCATTGAAATTTTGTGCATTTTAGAAAACCCTCAGCCACCAGAAAGGATGGACCTGTGGGTATATCAAATCTCTATTAATTGAGAGACTTTTTATTTGGGAGAGGGTTTGGACCACAACCAAGTGTGTTCAGGAACTGTGACATGGTTTATGGCACCTGCCCTGTCTATATCTGGCTGAAATGGGAAGTTAATCTAAAGTTTATCTCTCTCTCTGTTCTCTTCTACTTTTCCACCTTACTGTTCAGGCATTCCCATCTTGGTTAAAAGATGATGAGGTGTTGGAATGCAGGACTTTCAAAGGAAGAAGATGTTTTGTGAGTAGGCACAGGCTTCGTCTCAGTTCCCTGGGTATTACTTCACTGTAAGTGGTGGGCCTGTGATGCCAGCATCCTGCCTGTAACTCCTGTGCATCACCCCCCAATGGACCCTTCTTGGATAGAACCACTTATTTGGGGGGAAGTGTTAGTTCTAATGTCATTAGCCACAATGCTCGGACTGCGACTATACTCATCAATGATTGATAAGATAAAAATGAATTCTTAATTCTTTCTTTTGTTAGCAGTGAAACCAAGATCTTTCAGTGAGAGAATTGTCGCTCATGCATACTCTGATTCCAGCTCTGCATTTACGGTCTGTGGATTTTCAAAAAGACAGCAGGAGGTCACCTTCCCACTGCCTGCCTGTCATCCAGTGGAATAGAATCCCGTTCCTTTCCCAGTGGCCCACCAGGCTCTTCCCTGCCCTGTCCTGCTGACCACCAGGCAGTTAGAGGGTTTAGTGGCCAGACCTCTAGTGCAGACCTCTAGTGAGAGTGCAGCTGGAATCTTTCCTCACTGCCACCAAGGAAAAAACTTTGTCATGGGGGCTGTCTCAGGGCAGGCTGCTGGGGAAGTTGCCCTCAGAAATCAAGATTTTATTTAGGTTTTACCAGAAAGATTTTATTCTCAAGTTCTATATCCGAGGACCGCAAGAACAACAATCTGAGATCAGACTCTCTCTTCTTAAAGGAATTCCCACCCCAGGGGAGGCAGAACTGTCACTGTCACTGTCCTCCCATTGTTCATCAATTTCCTCCAGCGGGCCCAGTAATGTCTCCATTGTGAAACTTTTTGTTACTGTGTTTGGCATATTGAATACGTCACAGGTAGCTTGCCAGGCTTTGCCCTGTGGGCGAGATAATCTTGGTAGCTTGCCAGGCTCTCTGAGAGGAGCAGAGGAATCGAACCTGGGTCAGCCAGGTCTGCCGCATGCAAGGCAAACGCCCTACCCAAACGTCTGACACAAAATATTAACACAGAAAACAAAGAGATCCATTACAGGGAACTGGCCAGGGATGGGTGGATGCGAGGGCTGCCAAGCTGGAATCAGAATATCATGGCTGGATAACTTCTAAGTTTTGTCCCAACATGACCCTAGTAGATGTCAGGGAACTGAGCAGGGAGAAAGTCCCTTCACACCATTCCGAACATTCTCCAAGGTACTGTGAAACTCAGTTCTTTATGTCAGTGTATCGAAAGTTCTCTGATTAGAATCGCTATCTCTGCTGTGTCCATTCCTGCCATCCAGGTCCCAGAGCCTCACGTTTTCAGGAGCTACATATTTCTGTTCCCACACTTCAGCTCCACACTCACGCTCCACCCCACCTCTCCAACCACCCTGCAAGTATGTGTCTTTTACTCAACTTCTGGGTTTTTCCCGTCTTGTTCAAGTAGGGCTGGTGGAGCCCCAGGTCTCAGGGGGAGGCTGGGTGTTTTGAGGAGTGACTTGGAGAATGATGGAGTCTCTGGAAGAAGCTCAGTTTCCCTGAATCAAGGGTGAGTGCTGGAATAGAAGAATGTTTGGAGAAAAGAGTGTGAATAAGACTCAGTGGATGCCTTAAAGCAGTGTTTCTTAACCTTTGCCTGACCATAGTTCCCTTCTGAACTTCTTTCCTTTCTGTTTCTCCCGTCCTACTGATCAATGTCCCGGTCTTATGCTACAGCCCCTGTATTTTACACACTTTTCACCTGTGTCTCCTTGGAGTATTCTGAGGTTCCTAGGAGTCCTTACCCCAGCTCCCTGGTCCTGGTTCAGGAGCACGCACACAGTAAAGCACCAGGTGGGCAGGTAAGAGGCTGGTGCAGAGCAGGCACCAGCAGCTGGTCCTCGTTGGACACTCCCTCTCCCTGCTCCCCTCCAGTAAGTGTGAACACAAAGAGGAGGGGCTGTGCATCCTATCAGGACAGGAAGTGACTGGAGATGAATGAAGCAGCAGGTGAGATCATACCTGAGGGTGAGGTGGAATGTGACAAGAGTTCCCCCAAAGATGGACATACTTCTAGCCCTCCAGTTCTGGGATTTCTCACAATTTTTGTCACTAGGGCAGGAACAGTGTGAAGACAAGAACACTAATTATATCCTGAGTGGCTTTGGGCTCTCTTTGTGTGTGCTTACATGCGTATGTATGTGTGTGTATGTATTTATGTATGTATGTATGTATGTGTATGTTTTTGTGTGTATTTGTGTTTATGATGGGGTGCTCAGGACTTACACCTGGATCTGTGCTCAAGGGTCACTCTTGATGGTGCTCAGTGGATAATATGCAGACTCTGAGGTTCAGTGGAGTCAGGTACATGTAAGGTGTAACGCAAACCCCGGTAGTACGTCTCAGGCCCAATATTGAACTCTGTTTTGAAGTGCTTCTCCTTATTTTTGTGTCAAAATACACAATGTGCAGTGACTAGAACTTCCATGCCACTCTTCTTATGCAAACCTTAACTCTCCACTGTGTATGGATAGAATGTTTACCCATGGATGTAAAACTTGTTTCTTAGGGCTTATTGTCAATGTGCAAAATATGCATACTTGTACTAAGAAGTACCTGGGCATATTTTATCTGCCTCTAAATATTTGAAGACACTGAATTTTAAACCAGAGATACTTTGCTGGTAACCTTGAACCTCCTATGTGCTTTCTCTCTCTTTAAAGTACACATGATAGGGAAATGCAGGTTTTGTTACTCAGTGTCCACATCTATGGATCATTTTGGAGTAAAACACTATTCGATCTCTAAAATGTGTCTGAGATTCCCTTATGTCAGATATTTACAAATATGGGCTGATACTGAGGACATGACTTCAGTCCAACAATGACAACAGAAAGCAATAAGAAAGCATCACGTACTTTCATGTGACAAATGTAAGAACTAATCTTAGATTTCTTTAGAAAATTGTATCTCTCGGGCAATACCCACTTCTCTGTATATTTCAGCAGATACTGACTCCTCATTCACTGAATATATTAAATAGTTTTGTGTCTGGAAGTTTAGTTTGATTGTTAACTTTAGTTAATCCCAATCATCACTTTTTTTTACTCCCAAACTGTATTCTATATATGTAATATCAAAACCACTTTCATAGGTAAATTTATCTGTCTGAAAAACACAAGAGTTTTTTGACTTAAAAATCTCACTTTTTTTTTCAGTAGCTGTCTTACACTTAATATAAGTTTCATTTCTACTTATGCACAAGAAGAACAAAAGTTTTATAAAAGTAGCTCTTGACATTTCAGCTGCCTTAAATGACTAAACATCTGTTTTGAATGGTGCTAGAACCAGACTTTTGCATTTCAAAGGTTGTTGTATATAATGGGAGAGACCGTTTATTAGATTATATTTAAAGAGGTTGTGACTTTTAAATGACAAAACCAACTGCCAAATCCGTAAAAATAACGAGAACGAGACATTGTTAAACTTTAATTCAGATCTTTTCTTATTTCTTATGAATTTACAGTTTTACAGAGCTTTCAATGTATAAGATGGATAAACATTTTACAGCCAAAGCGCAGCATGGCATTCACAAAACACAGAGATAAAGCATTTATTTATATTATAATTCATCCACTTAAGTTCAGGCCACAGTCTCAGCGAGTGCTGCACACATAAGAGAAAGCACACAGTTCAGGGGGTACAAGAGGAAACCCTCGTAGGCATGCTTCCGGCATCTCAGTGTCCACTCAATATCTGTTAGACAAATCACAAAGCCCCCCCAGAGGGTAGCAACAGATGATTTCTTTGAAGGTTTTCCTCAGCTCTTGGCTCCGAAGTGCATAAATGAGAGGGTCGATGATGGAATTGCACATGATCAGGATGAGGTACAAGTTGAAGTGGGACATAAAACACACACAGTACGGGTTCTGGGGGCAGGAGATGTAGAAAATTAAGTGGAGGAAGAACGGAGCCCAACAGACCACAAAGACTCCGATGAGGATGGTCAAGGTGACGGCGCCCTTCATGTTGGCCCCTTGGCGAATGGTGCCTGTGCCCGGGAGGACGGCGATCCTCTTAATGTGGAGCCTGGCCATGAGGAACATGTGGACGTACAGAGAAGCCATGAGAGCCAGCATGGTGAAGAACATGGTGATGAGGCAGATGATCACAGCGCTGCTGTCCGAGTAAATGATGAACAGGATCCCGGACACCGAGCAAGCGGCCCAGATGCAACTTATGATGATGCCCACGCGCTTGACTGTCATGATGTTATGGTACTGGAGCGCATAGAAGATGGTGAAGTACCTGTCCACGGCGATGGAGAGCAGGCTGCAGATGGACGCCAGCAAGGAGCTACAGATCACCGAGTCGATGACATTGTCGATATTCACCGTGAAGCTCTGGGCATCCGTGTCCGTGCTGTTCAGCAAGGTGATGACGATGGTCTCGGAGCCGTTGGAAACGCTCACCAGCATATCAGCCACCGCCAGGCTACAGATGAAAAAGTACATGGGCGAGTGCAGGTTCTTGTTCTTGGCGATCGCCACGATCACCAGGATGTTCTCCAACAGGCTGATGACCCCCAGGGTCACGAACACTTCGGGAGAGACAAAAAGTTGCTCATAGCACCCTGAGTCCGCCTTGGCTCTCCCCAGCGCGTCGCTGGCGTTGCCGCGCGCGCCTCCTCCTCCTCCTCCGCCGCCGCCGCCGTAAGCGCTGTGGTTCCAGAAGTGGAGGGAGGTGTGCATTCCGTGGTGCGGAGCGGGGTTCATCCTGGACCAGGTGGGCTCCGGTCTCCCCCGCGCCGCCCGGCGACGGCTGACGACCCCGGGATGCGACGAGAGATGCGTAGAGGCAGGATCGGTCCCCCAAGTCTTCAGCAGTCTGAAAGTTTGCAGGCTGAGACCAGCATGCCTGTGGTCAGCCGGGGCCACCTGCTCCGGAGGTGCAGGGACGGAGTTGTAAGTCTCTGGCAAGTCACCTGCACGCTCGGCTCCTCATGGCTTGCAAAATCTCAGGCTTCAAAGTGTTTCTTTTCCGTGAAAAAGAGTCTGCGGCTCGCTTTCCTGCGTTTCTGGCTTCTGCTTGAACTTGAGCCGGATGCGTGCAGTTCTTTGCAAACGCTGTTCCCCGGCAGATGCTCCCGCGACTCCCCAGTCAGTTCTGCTCCTCCAAGAAGGCAGTTCCCAACCTGAAGCACTGCTGGAGAGTGCGGAGCTGAGACTGCTCTCTCAGATGTGTGCGGGCGGGGAGGAAAAATAGATACCGAGCGGCTCCTCCCCTCCTTCCTCCGGACCAATCCCAGGGTAGTGGAAGCACGGAGACACCCAGTGATGCCCCGAGGTACAAATCGCGGGCACAGCTGATTCAGAGGCGCGCTCCAGAGCCTGGACCAGTCTACGTTTCCCTTGCCACGTTTTCAAGGAGTACAACTTGGTCCCTACGGAATAGTCTCTGATATCACGAGCCCTCGTGAGGCAGCCAGGCTTCATTCATCCTGCACCTGCTAGAGATAGGTGTGTGTGTGTGTGTGTGTGTGTGTGTGTGTGTGTGTGTGTGTGTGTGTGTGTAAAATGAAGTAAAAAAAAATTTCATCCTCTGTCCTGAAATAGATGCACTGCCAGTATTACTCTCTGGATTTCTTTGAATTGAGTACTCAGCTCAGGCAGTAATGCTTGAATTCATGATGTCTGCAACACAGGGAGAATATTTGCTAGCATACAGGTAGAGCCAGCGCTGAATGAAGGGTCTATGTAGCAGCTAAAATTTAGCAAAGGGCTCCAAAAGGATTTTACGTTTTGGGCGCACAGATCTGATATGAAAAGCTTTATTTTTGTCCAGACTAGAAAAAGTTTCATTTTTATTCACAATATTTAAAATTCAGGAGCCAATTAGGTAGCAGAGTGGGGGAGGTACTTGCCTTAAGTGGGATTTCATCCCCAGCAGCACATTTAGATAGTCCCCAAGCGAGCCCCAACAGAAGTGATCCCTGAAACAGAGACAAGATCAAGTCCTGAGCCAGCAGAGGGGTCCCCAAAATATAGTAATAATAATAGCAATAGCAATAATAGCCATAAAGTACTGATGCAAACTGTATTTTCTCTGAGCTCAGAAAAGTAAATATCAATAACCAGACTATGGTTTCTGTTATTTACTTAATCATTTATAAAAACTGGCAAGTATCTAAAGCATGCATTTGAATAAATTCAGTCATACACGTATAGCCACAACATCATTATCAGGATCAGATTATTAGACACATTCATCTACTCTAAAAATATTCTTGTATATTTTATGCTTAGGTTTATTTTTATAAGAATACTTGACACAAGAGTTATCTTCCTAGAATATTTTTATTTTTTTTTTCACTCACTGGAAATCCTCAGACAGTTGGGCTGTTAGAATTCCCCCAGTATTTGAGAGCTGACATCAGGATTTGAACTTGCAGCCTTATGCTTGCTGGTCACGTACCTTAGGCCACTGCACTCTCTTTTGATCCCCCTCTTAAACGATTCAAGAAGACAATGAAAGACAAGTCTTTCTCTCTATATATGTGTATAAATATATGTACATATATTTTCATATATATACACATATTTTCATATATATATAAATTTTGCCTACCAAAGTAGAAGTAAAAGAATGGCTTATATCAAAAATACTGGGCTCAATCTCTATTGATGAGGATGTGGTGAAAAGGAACTCTCATTCACTGCTGGTGGGAATGTTGTCTGGTCCAACCCCTATTGAAAACAGTGTGGAACATTCTCAATAAACTCAGAATTGAGCTCCCGAGTGACCTAGAAATTCCACTTTGATGTACCTATTCCCGGGAGAGAAAAAAAAGTTATTCAAAAGGATGTATGTACTCCATTATTCATTGCAGTACTCAGTACAATAGCTAAAATTTGGAATCAACCTAGATATTCAATGACAGAAAAGTGGATCATAAAAACGTGGCATGGGGCTGGAGTGATAGCACAGCGGGTAGGTTATTTGCCTTGCACACGGCCGACCTGGGTTCGATTCCCAGCTTCCCTTATGGTCCCCTGAGCTCCTCCAGGGGTAATTCCTGAGTGAAGAGCCAGGAGTAACCCCTGTGCATTACCGAGTGTGACCCAAAAAGGTAAAGGTAAAAGGTAAAGGCCCTCCCGTTGATCGTCGATTTGCTCGAGCGGGCCCAGTAACGTCTCCATTGGAGACTTTGTTGTTACTGTGTTTGGCATATCGAATACTCTCGGTAGCTTGCCGGGCACAAAAAGAAGAAAAACAAAACAAAACATAAAAAACACAAAATAGATACACAATGAAATATTGTGGATCTGTAAGGAATTATTGAATCATGCAATTCGCTGAAAAATGGATGGAGCTGGAAGACATCATGTGGAATGGAATAAGTCAAAAGAAGAAAAAAAGCATAGGATAGTAAAACTTATATGTGATATTTAGGATAACTGGATGAGAGGATGTAATGTGTTAAAGGGGAATGCTCAGATAATCCTTGTCTCCAGAGTCTAGGGAGGAGAAGGAGAGAAATAGAATGGAAGGAAGGGGAGAGAAGGAACAGGTGAGAGGCAATAGGGGCCAGATCAAGGGGATTAACGTGCAAAGGTGGTTTATGGAATGATAGAAATGATAGAGTCAAATATCCACACCACAGAATCAACAACACTGAAATCAAGAGACTTTAATACCAAATTTTAAAAGGTGCCTGTCAGTAGAACAGGGCTGCAAGGGGATGTGGTATGGGAGGAAACCTGGGACTATTGGTGACAGGCAATTGACACTGGTGTTGGGATGGGTACTCAACACTATGTGTCTAAAACTCTACGGTACTTTGTAAATCATGTTGCTTTACCAAAATTTCAAAACTAATTTTAGCTTTAAAAGTACATTTTTTTAAAGGACATGATATAAATGTAGATACTACAATGCAGGAAAGGTCTCTAGTACTCATTTATTTTGTATAACTGAAGTTTTATAGCCATTTAATGATAATTTATTGGCAATGATATTGACAAAATATTTTTTGATTTAACAGTAAAAAGGCAGAAAAAAACTAAAAGAAATCGAGAAGTGACACCATTCAAACTCAAAGATTTCAGAGTTACAAGAGAAACAATTAACAAAGTGTAATATAAAAAATATTTGCAACCCATGAACGAGAGAGGGGTCTTTCTCTCTATATATATGTGTATATAAATATATGTACATATATTTTTATATATACACATATATTTTCATATAGTCTCTGAGTCTTGGCCGTTGATGGGATTACATGGCGCCAGGGGACCAGTTGGTGGGTGTGACCCCCGTCTACTGGAATTTGGAGGATCTGGGTGGAGAATGCTCGGCCCCAATCAGAGTAGGCTTGGAGATCTCGGCCCCGGAACCTGCGTGACTTTGTCCCTCTGCCAGTACCTTCATGTGTGCGGAGAGTGGTCTCAGCATGGTGGTGGCTGGTCCTGGAGGTCTTTGGCTGCTGGAGCCCTGGTCGGGGCGGGGAGGAAAGCTCAATCCGCTCCCCTCCAAGGGGCCCCGGCAAGGACAGCCAGGCGCGGGGGCAGGAGACTGCTCCGGCAGCCAAAGACCTCCAGGACCAGCCACCACCATGCTGAGACCACTCTCCGCACACATGAAGGTACTGGCAGAGGGACAAAGTCACGCAGGTTCCGGGGCCGAGATCTCCAAGCCTACTCGGATTGGAGTCGAGCATCCTCCACCCAGATCCTCCAAATTACAGTAGGCGTGGGTCACACCCACCACCTGGCCCCCTGGCGCCGTGTAATCCCATCAACGGCCAAGACTCAGAGGCTATAAAAACCAGATCCCGGAAGAGAACAGTGCAGTCTTATTATGTCTTATTATGACATCTTATTATCTCATTCCTACTTTGGACAAACTAGCAGGCTACCGAATGTAGTCTGCCCACACGGCAGAGTCTGGCAAACTCCCCGTGGCATACCCAATATGCCAAATACCAGTAACAATGATGGGTCTCATTCTCCTAAAGAGCCTTGAATATAATCTCAGGGCTAGGATGAAGGAGACATTACTGGGGTCTGCTCGAGGCAATTGATGAATAACAGGATGATTTGTGATTTGTGATAATTTCATATATATAAATTTTGCCTACCAAAACAGAAGTAAAAGGAATTGCGTGGAAATTTGTATGGAAGAAAGATATCTATTTAGAGAAAATAGTGAATAAAAGGCAGAGTCTCCTGCCCTCATGCTTGGCTGTCCTCACCAGGGCCCCTTGGAGAAGGGCGGGTTGAGTTTCCCTCCCAGCCCCCAGCAGAGCCCCAGCAGCTGAAGACCTCTGGAACCCAGCCACAGCCATGCTAAGACCACTCTCCACATGCTCAGATGAGCCTCACACTTGAAGGAACTGGCAGAGGAACCCAGGTGTGCGGGACCCGGGACTGATATCTCCTGCTCGGATGGGGACTGGGCCTTCTCCACCTAGATCCCCTATCTTCCAGTAGCTAGACATTTACACCCACCAACTGCTGTGTAATCTCACCAATAACCAAGATCCAGAGACTCTACATCCAAGCTCCTGGAAGCGTGCAGCTGCATTTGTGGCCTCTATACCTTTTATTGTCTAGTTTTCACTCTCAGAGAACCTGGAAGGCTACCAAAAGTATCCTACCCGCATATATGCCTGACTGGGAACACCTGTAAAGGTGACTAGAGGTTGCCCCAAAAGCCTCCATCCCTCCTGGAGAGCCTGGCAAGCTACTGTGAGTATCCCGCCCGCACGGCAGAGCCTGGCAAGCTAGCTACCTGTGGCAT